CATTTTTTGTAAGACATATCTACCAGCAATGGACTCCCTCATCTTTTGTTTGTCTGTTAAAGTCTTTATTTCTTCTTCAATTATTTATAATTTTTTATTATGGTGAAATACACATATCTTATAATTTACTATTGTAACTATTTTAAGTGTACAGTTCAATGGTATTAAACACATTTATAATGCTGTGCAATCATCACCATCATTCATTTCCATAAGTCTTTTAATCTTACAAAACTGAAATTCTATACACAGTAAATAATAATTCTCTATTCCTTTATGCCACCCAGCCTCTGGCAACCACCTGAGGCGCTAGTCCTTAAAGCAGTAAATTGAAAAGCCTGGGCCATTAGAAGCATGCTCTACTCTTCCTTTCTTCTAAGAGAGAAATCATGGGCCAAGATGATCTTTTGGGTTAGGGTAAGAAGGGGCTTATGTGAGTTAAGTGAAAATTACTCTTCTTACCTGCTATTGTTCTTGACTTTTTTGGTGCGCCGTATTCCACCTCTTAACTGGATTCTGGACATCTCATTGAGGTATTTTGGTTTGTATATGTTTGTTAAATAGGTGTTCCTATAAGGAGATGAGGGATGGGACTTACTGTTCCAGCATGTTTCTGATGTCACTCTTTCATGCATGCTTAAATTTTCAAAGTCTACTTAGATTTAATATTTTATGGCCTCACATAAAGTTTAAGGATCTCGCCAGTATCTAGTTTAGTTTTTTTCCCATCCCTTCTTTCATGTTATAATTTTTATGCATATTATTCCTTTGTATATTATATAGTGCTTATTATAATCCTATGATGTTTTCCTTTAACCCTTAGATATATTTCAAGTAAATTAAGAGACAAATGTTGTTTTATATTTATCCACATATTATTAGTTCTACTATTCCTGATGCTCTTCATTCCTTCCTAGAGCTCCAGCTTTTTACCTGATATCATTTCCCTTCACACTTAAGAATGTCCTTTAGTATTTTTTATAGTGTAAATATGCTGATGATAAATTGTCCTATTATTCATTTATCTGAAAATTTCAATATCTGTGTTTATTCATAAAGGATTTTTTGGTACATGTAAAATTCTCTATTACATATTTTTTAAAAAACATTCAGCACTTTAAAGATAACTTTTTTCTTATGAGAATTCAATGGCCAGTTTTATTGTGTTCTACAGTATGCATGTTCTTGAATGCTTTCAAGATTTTCCCTTTATATTTGTCTGTCAGTAGTTTGACTATCATATGGCTGAATGTGGCTGAACTCATTGAATCCATAAGCTTATGTGCTTTGTTATATATATATATATATATTTTCTTCTTTTTCATATAGTTTTATTGAAGCATAATCTATATAAGAAAATAAGAATATACTTCACATATTTTGATAGCTTTTCTTTATATTGGGAATATTTTAGTCATTGTTTTTCAACCATTTTTTTCTTCATCTTGTGGTTTGCCTTCTGGGCCTCCAATTACATTTATGTTATAACTTTGATATTACCTATGTACCACTGACTTGTTCATTTTCTTTCTCTGTACTTTAGATTGCATAATATCCGTAGATTTATCTTTTAGTTAAGCTACTCTCTCTTCTGTTATTTTATTATTATTTTGCAGTTTTGGGCCACAGCTGGGTTTGAACCTGCCACCTCCAGTATATGGGGCCAGTGCCCTACTCCTTGAGCCACAGGCACAACCCACTTTCTTCTGTTATTTGTAATCTGCTGTTAAGCCTACCCAGTGTAGTTTTCCTCAGATACTTTAATTTTTAGTTTCAGAATTTATACCTGGTTTTAAAACATTTTCGTTATCTCTGATATGCTTTCCTATTTCTTCATTTATTACAAGTGCATTTTTCTTTATTTCCATGAGTGTAGTTATGACAGATAATTTAAGGTCCTTCCTGCTAATTTCATCATCAGATTTATCATAGGGCCAGTCTCTATTGAATGAGTTTCTCCTGAGTGAGAGTAATAACTTTCTGATTTTTTGCTTTAGAGGTGATTTTGGAATATACCCTGAACATTGTGAATTATATACTGTTGAGTCCCTTCATTCTCTTTTACTTTTCTGTGAAGTACTGATTTGTTTTGTTTATTTTAATAGAAAGTTAATGTGGCTAATTTGAAACTGCACACTCTCCCTCATGGCAACAATGGAAACTCTCTTTACTTCTTTCAGCTTTACAGAGGCTATTTGGGACCTGTCTTCATGTGTGTATCCCGCGGTTTCACAAGAGTTGGGCAGTTTAAGATGTATAGAATTTTGGGCTTTCCATCTATATTTTCCTCCATTCTTGTATTTCTCTCATGACTTCTCAACTGCAGTGATCATCCTGAGCTCTGTTTTTGCTTTCTTAAAGCCACTTGGACTGTGAATTAAGATTTTTCTCTTTATTTGCAGTAAAATGAAAATGCTGCTAATTTTTTACACAGGTAAAATTGTGTGTTTTAAAGAAGAGCTTTGATTCTGAGAGTATCTTAGTCCAACTCATTTGTGTTAATTTTTTTAAATTATGGTAACTCAGATGGTTTGCTTGGGATCTTTATTTGATAAAAGTTACAACTGCAGTGAACTGAGTGATATTTTCCCCAAATTCATGTCCATTCAGAGCCTCAGAATACCCCTTGTTTAGATCGCATGGTTTTCCAGAAGGAATTAAAGATCTGGAGATAAAATAATTATGGGTTTAGCGCAGTCCCTAAACTCAATGGCTGGTGTCTTTATATGAGAAAAGAGGGAGATTTGTCACACAGAGACACAGAGGAGAAAATAATTTGAAGACTGGGTCAACTATTAGAGTGATTGTTCTATAATCCTTGGAATCCCAGGAGCCACCAGAAGGTAGAAGAGGCAAAGAAACATTCTCCTCTAGAATCTTTGAAAGGCATGTGGTCCTGGCAGCACCTTAATTTTAGACTTCTGTCATCCAGAACTGTGAAACGATACATTTCTGTTGTTTTGAGCTACCAAATTCATGGCAATTTGTTATGGTTGCCCTAGGAAACTAATACATAAACTTAAGGTTAATTCATAACATTTTAGTTTTTACAGTTTGCTAATCTGTTACATCCAGTGGACATTAATACAAAAAATATACACATAAAAATTTGTGCCCACACAGGTATGTGTGTACAGCGATGTGCCTATGTACACATTTGCTTTATGTGCAATTTACATGTTGCTTTGGTAGGCAACAATACTGTATTTGAGGTCAGCAGACTGAGCGCTGGTGTTGACTCTGTTACTGACTCTCTTTGACCTTGTATGAGTTACATTTTTCCTTCTAATTTCTGTTTCTGTATGATGAGATGGTTATCTTTTGTTTATTTTTGAGATGGTTACCTTGATAGATCCTTCTAGCTCAGTGACTAAATGTATGGGTCTCAATCTCTCTCTACATACTTAATTATGGGTAAATGCCTTTGAAGAAGTGTGCAGTTGGAGTGTTGTACATGTGCAGGTGTAGAGAGTATTAAGAATCTGGGGGAAACTCAATGGGATTATAATTTAAATGGAAATGGTACCCTGTGGGCAAAATTCTAAATGCCTACTATGTCCCAGTCACTATGCATATTGATGCCAATATGCTTAAAACATGAAAAAATAATTTACTTTCAATCAGATGCCCTTTGATTCTCTGACTAAATGAACTAGGAATTGCAATATGAGGGGTTTGAGTAAGAAAACTTTCATGCTTATTATATGTGGGCAGATGCTGAATTCCTTGATAGGAGCAGCTGTTTGCTCATATGCTTATATTCATATTACCCCTAAAACACTAAAAAAGGAATTTTGAGTCACTGTGATCTAGAGTTCCATTTGGGGACTTAACTTTGGGGAGCCTTTGAAATTTGGTAGTTTATTTTTTATTCTCAACTCTTCCTTCTCCTTCACCTGGAATTAGTCTGTTTTTAGATCTTAGAGTGTTAGCTCTAGAAGTATCTTTTATGATTATCTATATCTAGCCCTATTCATTTTTCCACTGAGGATGTTGAGGGCTGAACTGAAGTCATGACTTGTCAAAGGCAACATAATAATTTTCAGAGTCAGAACTCAAACTTAAGTTTCTTTGTTTTATTTTTAGCCTAGGTCTCTTTCTATCCTATGTTGCATTGTTACTGAACTTCACTCAGGTTGCTTTTTCTTGTTTTTCTCCCACAAGGTTATGTATTTTTTATACTTTGATTCAATAAATCTTACTCCTTTCCCCTTGTGCAAAGTCACATGTAGACTCATACACTTACATACAGCTATTTTCCCTTCAGAATTTTTTGAAAGGAAGGCATTGTGGTTCTGCTGCTTATCTATCTTGTCTTAGAGGGAAGCTCCAGCTGACGGTTTCAAATTGGGTCCACATCCATTTCTACTTGGTTGAGGGTGGGGGGTGGAAGTTAGGTCAATAGGGGATCAATGTGGCTGAACTGTTTCTTCATAGTGGAGTGGGAATGACAACCACTTTGATGAACATGTTTTTGCTTACTATTGTCTTCAGAAATGGAATTTGAACAGACAGGATTGTTGAACCTTTATTTGGAGCCTGGGTTAGAAGGCACGCCCATAGGGATGCAAGGGAGAGAGAAAGAGAAGAGGCTCACTCTTCGGTCTTGGAGCAGCAAGTAAGCATCACACCCCAGCTAAGGTAATCCATTACTTCCTTTATCCTCCTATTTGCGCTTACCCTTTTGCTCTCTTTCTCATCCCCTGGTCTGCTCTGCTCCTCCCCTTCCCTCTGAGCTTCCCTCTAGTTCTCTGCTGGATACCTTAAAGAATAAAATACTACTTTAGTTTTTCGTAAGGCAGTCACAGATCTAAAGCCTTGCAGCGCTGTATTCAGAGCCCCAGAACAGCCGCGTGCTCAGCACCAGGCAGTGGTGAACCCAAAGCCAGAAAAGGGGGAGGGGAGTAGAGGAGGGGAGCAGGGGAGGGAGAGACTCACAGAGAGGGAGAGGGGGAGAAAGGGAGAGAGGGAGAGAGAGAGGGAGAGAGAAGAGAGGGAGGGAGGGAGGAAGAGAGAGGGAGGGAGAGAGACAGAGGGAGAGCGTGAGCGCGCGCAAGCTAGCGAGCAAACCAGAGAGACAGACCGAGAGAGGGACCTGGAGAGAGACCCAGGAAAGGGAAGCAGCAGCCGAGGTCTGTAAGGGCTCAACCTCCAACTTGTTTCAGTTCATTCATCCTTCTCTCCTCTCAGCTTGGGGGAAGTGACTGTGGCGCTCGGTAAGAAACATAGATGTTCCTTCTTCCCCCTCCCCCAAGCTCAGGTCTCCTTTAGCGATAGCATCTCTCCCTCGTAGGGAGAGTCTCCTTGGGTTGGCCGGGGAGGCGAGACATGCTCTGCAGCTGTGATGCTATCCTGGGTTCCCCAGTGGGGCTGGTGGAAGCCCAGAGGCGGCATCTGGGAAGGGAGGAACTGGGGTAAAACCTGATTTGGAGGAAGGGGGGTTGCGATGTGTTGTGTGCGTGATTTGCTTTATTGTCAGTGAATTGTTTTGTTCCTCTTTAGAAGCAGGTCAGCATTGACCTTGCAAATTGCTTGGGGGCCCAGCAGCTGCTGCAGAAAGCCACTGAGTGGCCCCTAGCCAGAGCAGACAGCACTGTCATGACCCCCCAGACAGCCCTAGGCGTGGGGATGGGGTAATGGCTGGAGCTTCCTCCCTCCTTTAACTCTTTCTCTGCAGCTGCTTCTTGCTGCTGGAGATGAAAAAGAAGGACTGTACCTTAAAGCCCTTTCCTCCATCCCCCAACCCTCCCCCAGATGCAAGTGAGTAGAAAGTTGTAAATAACTGCTGCCTTTGAAGCAGGTTGAGACCGTTCACCTTCCTTTAAGAGGCTCACTGTGGGGTTGGGCCTGACTCCCTCCACAAACTTGGGAGGTTCCTATTGATTCTTGGGGGGAAGCCCCAATGCTTACCCACCCTCAATCCCAGAGAGTTGAGCCTACAGCCTAGGGATTTGGACACCCCACCCTGACCCACTGGTAAGCATCCTGTTAGGTCCAGCTCTGTCCTTGGGAGGGAGGAAACACCTGTCTGGAACTGGCTTCCCAGTTTGTTGCTCTCTGACTGTAGCTGTGGGGTGGCATGGGCAGGGAGACTGGGGGAGGGGAGGCTGTTGGATTTCAGGAGAGCAGGGTGGGGAGCCAGAATTCCTAGCATGAATGGTTTGGCTTAGTGAGGGTCAGCAGGTTCTGATACTCTGGAGCTATGCAAAGACTGGCTGAAGCTCTTGTAGTTTAGCCCCTCTGAACTGGTAGAGGAAGGGATCTGATTGCTTGCTGGGGTCTTGTGCTTCTAATAGTAATTATAGCACCCATAATACAAATCATTATGGTTGTTGAGTGTGTAGTATGTTTCAGATCCTGGGCTGAGGATTTAATGTTTATTACCTTGTTGAATTCTTCCATCAACCTGATGAAGCAGACACTATTATTATCCTTGGTTTACTGATGAGAAAATGAGGCACAGAGAGGTTAAGAAACTTGTCCAAGATTATACATCAATTAAATGTCTCAATTGAAAATTAAAACGCAGGCTACCTGGGTCTAGGTAGATTCCATGGTCTTGACCATTAAGCACTACTGCCTCCTTGGGGAGAGTTTTGCACATTTGTCTGTTAGGCAAGTATAGGGACAACAGAAACAGTGGTGCTTAGCAAGATTTTTTGGAAAGTAATGGTCTGCTTTTTGTGTGGACTAACAAGGACTTAGGCTGGAACCAGGCCTCACCTGAGTTTCCAGGAGGGGCTGCTGGAGAGGATTTCTTTAGCCAGGCTACCTTTCTTTAAAAATGATGACTGGAAAGAATTCGCTTTTCCAGTGCCATACTCTCATCCACCCCACATTCAGCTTAACACTGTGCCTTTCAGGAACAGACCTCATTCTTATTTCCTGAGAGATGGAGTTTTCCTGTACCGAAAATTTTACAGTACTAAAACCTTGGAACTGGAAGGAACCCTAAAGATCATTAAGCTTTACTTCTCCACCCAGTTCTTCAATTTGTTTTAACATCCAATCTGTTGACTGATTTCTATTTGAACTCCCTGCAGTGCAAGAGAGCTTATTAGGTGGTTCTTTGTGTCATTGAGCCACTCTGATTATCAGAAAATATTTCCCATTATAAGCCCAAATCTGTTTCTCTGCAACTTCTATTCATTGTTTCTTTGGGACTATCTGGAGCAAATTTGCTTTTTTAAAATAATAGTTCTTCAATTAATTGAATACTACATTTATCCCTTTTTGTCAATCCTCAGATCTAACAAGACTACAGGACTGTCATTCACCTCAGTCTAGAGACTAGATTTTCCTTAATATGGCCTAATATCCCACTTGTTTGCCAGCCACAAACTGATCAGACTGAGCTTTCTCAAGCAGTGCTGATAGCGTGTGTTCTTTTCCTTGCTATCTGGTGTCAACTGGACTGATGAGAACAAAGAAAGTCTCTTTTGTATTCCTAAAAGCCAAGATTCTGTTGCTAGTAGTCCTTCTAAAGCCCTAGATTGTCTATGTAGCACCCAGACAATAAGCATGTGGGAAGATTTGAGTGACTGCAGGGATTAAGGGCAATTATCAAAAAGAAGACATTGGAAATAGAGGTGATTGAAGGTTCATACAGTGTATGGATGGTAGAAAGATCAACTGATACAACAGAAAGTATCTCAAAAATAATGACATCACTTGAGGGGATGGTACAGAGTGGAATTGGGTAGAAAAGGATTGAGCATGTGGTGTGCTAAAGTGGAACACTGACCTGGATGTGTGCAAATTGGGGTTCCATTCCTGGCTCTGACAATTTACCAATTACCTTGGACATGTGATTTCTCCTTCATGGATCTCAGTGTTTCCATCTACAAAACGAGGAGGTGGACTCTTTCCAAGGAAGGGTCTTTCAGCTGTGCCATTCTCAATCTGAAGCAAATCACAAAACCTCAGGGTTATGGGTGGCTTTAGAAATCATTTAGATGAGTACTTTTCACACCTTTAATGTGCAAAAAATCCCCTGGGAATCTTGTTAAAATGCTAATTCTGACTCAGGGGATTGAGGGATGAGGCCTGAGATTTTGCATTTTAACAAGCTTCCAAGTGATCCTGGACTGATGTTCCACTGACCACACTTCAAGTAGCAATACTGGAGCAGTTTTTATCAAATAATCTTAGTGAAAGACTAGTTGTCTGTATTTTCCATAATCCATCACAGAAGACTGTTACTTTAGTAAAATGCATTAATTATCAATTACTAGGAAAGAAAAAAGACAAAGTATAATCCTGCATTTTTACTATTAGATTCAATAGACAATAAATTTATTTTTTTTTCAATTGCTGCAACATCTTCTAAATGCTTACTGTCAAATTTCTCCACTTTGGTTATTATTGTCTTGTAATAAAAGTTCACAAACAGGATGGGTCTGTAGACCACACTTCTAGCAATACTAATCTAGGCTAGCTGACCATCTAATTTAAGAGGCTCTAATTAAGCCCAGCTATAACTTCTAAATTACCTGTCAGATGATCTTTCACCCTGTAGTTAAATATCTCCTTTGGTGGAGAATTAAGCATATACACAAAGTAGCATTATTCAGGTGTCATGATTGCTAAAAAGTTTTTTTCTTAAAATTCTTAGTTTCCTTATAGCTTCCATAAATTCCACTTATGGATTGTATATTCTAAATGGGTGAGAGACTGTATCAGTTCAATTTACTGCAACCTCAGCCATTGGCCTAGTGTATGGGGAGTAGGTGCTTAATACATGTTTGTTGAATGAGTGAATGAACCATTGTTGTTAGTCATGGGATCACACATTCATTAAAGAAAGGTAATTTGGGCTTTCTTCCACATTGGGAAGGCAGTGTACATTGTCTTTCATACATCTTCTTATAGAAGGCCAGTTTGACTATTTCAGAGCTCTACCTGACATCTCAATTTTATTTTGAAGGAATTTTAGGAAGCCGGGCAAAGATTGTGTACACTGTAAGTCTTACATCTTTACCTTTTGACAATTCAGTCATTCACTTTAATTATTATTATTGTTAATTTTTTCAATGATATGGGTAGCTACTGTGCAGAGGATGCAAAGATGAATAAGGCAGATGACCCCTACTTGTTTGGGCCTTACAGTTTGATAGAGAAGAGGTTGTTAATGAGATAATTACACAGCCATGTCATTTCAACTAATAATAAGTGCTATGAAGGAAAAGTACAAGGGGGTGGGACTATGAACATATATAACTGATCTAGCTTAGAGTTTAAGCAAAACACTCTTCAGGAAGTAATATTGAGGCTGAGCAGAGATGTGTATGGGTGTGGGTAAAAGATGATGGAGGCGAGGAAGTAGTTTTCTAGATGGAGGGGAAAGCATGTACCAGGGCCCTGTGATGAGAGAAGCATAACAAATTTGGGAAGTATAACAATAGCCAATTGTCTGGACTGGTCCCTTGTGATGGATTTGGTCTTTAGTCCAGAAACAGTTTTAAGCAGAGTGACTGAAACCGCATAAGTTGAATCCATTCTGTATAAGGTTACTAAATCTACTAGGGGCCAAAGACAATGTGGGAGACACAGAAGACTTAGAAATAGTCTCTGCTCTCCAAGATGACATAATCAAGTAGGAGAGAGAAGAAATACACCAAGAACTATGGTGCTAGGAGGGTGAGATCTACAAAAGAGAGGCAAAGAAGGGCTTCAAGGAGATTAAAGACAGCTTCCAGGATACAGCCTTTGAACTGAGCTTTGAAGATTACACAAAGTTTGGAAATGGAGAGTTGGGGTGTGGAAAATGTATTCTAGGCAGAAATCAGTTGTATTGGAGTCAAGTATATGGTGAAATTCAGTGAGAAATGTTTAGCAAGATAATTGGAAGGCTTGACTATAAATAATATTGAATGTTAACCAGGAAAATTAGGAATTTGTGTGCAAAGGAAATGAAACTCCCTCATTTTATGGATTGACAAACTGATGCTGAGAGGGTGAACAGCTTGATTTGTAAAAGCGTAGTAAAAGTTACTAAGTCTACTAAAAAATAATATGATTGGAACTCTGGAAAGAAGTCAATTGGAGACAGTAACTTGAGAATCATTGTCTTTCATTACTTGAAGTAGAAAAGAGATCCAAGGATGGTACTTTGGAGAATTCTTATCTTTATTTAGGATATAGGTAGAAAAGATGATGAACCTGTATGAGGCTACAAAGGAGGAAAGGTCAGATGTATGGAAGGAGAACTAGAAAA